TTTTTTGATGATTTTAAGAGGCTTATTTGTATGAGATACTACATGATTTGCTCTTTACTGAGTTGAGCTGTTCGAAAAGGGTAAATCTTTTCGTCATTTCCGGCTATGGTGTATTGAGACGACATTTACATTGTTATACTTTGGTGACGTATTTCGCTTGAGCGACTTTGGATTTTGCCTCGTCACGATTCCTAACACTGGCTTTGTTCAATTGTTACAAAACTCCCTTGGGAAGCCTCAATATTTTTAGCGCAAATTTGCCACATTTGAAGAGTCTGCAACTGTCACTTTCTGTACGTGCATCGTTTGGTGTTTCATGCGCCGTTGGATATTTCAGCATAAATTGAACATGAATTGAACAGAAATTGCTCTTGGAAAACTTTCGACTGTTCTTTGTGTCTCCGTATTTACAAAATTTTGACAAGAATATTAATATTTAAAGGAATATGTTTCGTCTATTACCGATGTATGGAAATTGATCTTCCACGGTTGGTCAAAGACCGGATCAATTAATAGAAAGAACTGTTGTTGATTATTGTTTTTGTTTACATATGTTTTAGTATGGTATATACTTATGGGGGCTGACCTCGCTAGGACTTCGAGTCCGTACGTTAGTCCCTCATTTAGTACCTTTCTGTTTTGTTTTTTTTTTCTACTCTTTTTATCATTATTCTCTGTCACTAAATGGAAGTTACTATAAATAAAGAAATAAATAAATAAATTATACACTCTTTGCCACTAATAATCACAAGTGAGGCCCTTTGCGATATTAATAATCTTATTTTAGGACGTTACGAAAAATAATCGTTGAATTTTTCAACCCGGAATTTAAAAACACTCTGGAAATTAATAAACAACTGTTTTAAGTTTTGTTTACCGTTGCAAGCGTAGGTCCTTGCGGCTACAGTGGGTATAGCTTGAGGATCAGGCCCTCTCAAGGGGAGGGGGGGAGGGGAAGGGAGGAGAGGGAAAGGAGAGCCTGACACAAGTCTATATCAAGAGCCGTGTTCTTCGGCCGCTGAACGGTCGAAACGCTGATTGGCTAAGGCGACAATAGAGGAGAACCGGGAGTAAACTTGTTCGCACTATTTGTGACGACGCCATCTTGAAATGCCGTCAGTGTAAATAGTTGCCCTTCAATGTCTCTAATAATAAGCGAAAACAAGTTTGAAAAGTGTCTTCCGGATTTCTCTAGAATATTTTCCAGGAATGACTTTGAAATCGGGTCAACTCGAATGCATAAAATAACTAGTTTTGTGTTATTATGATGTTCTCGGCGTCCTTCTTACAGGTTACGGGAAGAGTTTGATTTACCAGATTCTACCAGTTGTTTTATTCCATCAAGGTAGATGTAAAGAAAGAAGAAAAGGACTTTAAGATAATTGTAATAAATCTTCTTGAACTTATTCGACGCCAGCAAGTCGATTAGCTCGTAGAATATAGTATAAAAGCTGTGACATTAGACTCAAGAAACAAAAGAACCTTAAGCGAATGCAGAAATAATCTTTGGTAGCGCTGAGCAGTGGTTATCCCAAGAAAACAAACATGAACTTAAATCTGGTTCTTTGATGGATGTGTCGGTCTTGGTATTCGATGAAGCACATACTGTTGAGACTTGGTCAGTCTGAATCGATTTGTATTTACGTTCGTTTGTGCGAGTGTTTAAACTCTATAGGACAGTTGACATATGACCCCACATCTCGAATTTCAGGCAAACCGGAAAAGGTTTTGATTGGCTGAAAAGTTTTGTCACGCGTCACGAATTACAAGGGGGCGGAATGGCTCTCGATACAGATCTGTGTCAGGCTCTCCTCTCTTCCCCCCCCCCCCCGCCTCCCCTTGAGAGAGCCTGATCCTCAGGCTACAGTGGTAAGTCTGTTAAGCTAAAACTCTGCCGAATTGAACAAGAAACTTGAGATCGACGAGGATGAAGGAAACAGCCGTACAAAATTTCTAGCAAAATCTCCTTGATTTAGCCTCTACAATGTAGTACTCACATGTAAAGTATGTTATAATGTTCAAATCTGGTTTAATCACGACTACTAGTTTACATTAAATTCATTTAAAACATGATATTGTCAATGACTTCAAGCTTACTTCACATACATAGGCAGCCCCTCAGGTTGGTAGTAATTTCTGAGTAATCCAAGATCCCACTAGCCAGGTAAATAAGACCGCAAAGCATGGAAATATACCTATGGAGGGACTCCACACCTGTATAAGACTAACATGGAATGTTGAAAGGTTTTAATCAAAAATAAAATGAGCGAAATTCACCAAAAATGCAAGTTCTACTTCTAACCTGTAGTAGTTCCTAAGCCACCTAAGATTATAATGGCCAGGGGTACACGACCAAGGGACAAGAGGACATTCTTGAAAAAGTGATTCCAATGTAGTGTAAGACTAATGGAATGCCTAAGAGTAAAATGCAAAGCAAACTGTAATAAAAATAGGGCCAAGTCGACTAAATATGCAAGCTGCACCTCTAACCAGTAAGCTCCGTAAGATCTATTTATTTATTTATTTAAGGATTTTTACCAAGTACTGGAGCAAAAACAATAGGACATGGGTCCCCTACGAGGTTTAAGCTCCTACAAACCCATCCATCCCACCCCAGGGGAGGACATCCATCACACATTAATCTCGTGCGTGAATTTCCATACTTGGAATACCCATAAAAAATTCCACTGCGATTATTTATTTGAAGATTTGTACCA